TCCATCAGAGACTAAGCCATGTCGTTCTTGGTACCTCGTATTTCTCTCAAGAGAACTTTGGTGGAATAAAAAGTTGTATGAAAAATTACACCATGAAATGTTTAATTCCGCTAAGATAAGTATGAGTAACGACGAGGTACCGCAAACGATTTTCCTTGATATTGAGTCGTTTATGTATGTAAGTACATACATACATACATACATACCTACTTACATACATATAATATATAAGTACGTACGTATAACGTCGTTTCGATATATCTCGCTAAAGTTTCTCAACGATTTTCTTCAATTATTCAAATTCGCGGTAGCTAATAAGAAAAGGAGAAGGGGAAAAAGGGGAAGAAGAAGGGGTAAAGGAATGGATGTTGAGAGAATCGAGTCTCTCTCTCTCTCTCTCTCTCTCTCTCTCTCTCTCTCTCTCGAGTCCCCGGTTCGTTCGCGGCCTCGCGATTTACAGCAAGGAAATGGAACATGGAAAAGTTTTTCGAAGAAGCAGAAGAAGAAGAAGAAGAAGAAGAAGAAGAAGAAGAAGAAGAAGAAATAATAGTAGTAGTGGTAGTAGTATAACGAGTCGCCTCTTGGTTCGGCTTTCCGAAGGTTCCCGATATTTTTTCATCATAAATTTAATGCCACTTACGTTCTTTAACCGTGACTTTTAACGATTTCATTCGGTCCCGTTCCTTCCGCAAATTCTCTTATCTTGGTAGAAACAGGAACGTGTTGGAAAATCGTGTAGCTTTAATAACGTGGGAAAACTTTAACGAAGACTTTGCCAGAGAATGAGCAAAGAGAGAAGAGAAAGAAATAGAAAAAGAGATAGAGATAGAGAGATAGAGATAGAGAGATAGAGATAGATAAAGAGAGAGAGAGAGAGAGAGAGAGAGAGAGAGAGAGAAGAGAATGAAGATTATAATCTTTCTTGGGAGAAGTGTAAAAAATGGTGGATCAAGAAAAGGAAGGATCTTTTTGAAACGAAAACTTTTTCAACGGAGCACAGAAAAGATGCCTTCTCGATAAGAACGAATAAGAGAGAACAAGTGAGAGAGAGAGAGAGAGAGAGAGAGAGAGAGAGAGGGGGAGAGAGAGAAGAAAATGCTTCTATTCGAAAAATTATTCTCCACGACTGAGATTGTTCTTCGACGTCATAAGACACTAGATACTATTACATATCCGAAGCTCACATAAATCTTGGTAAACCAAATGATCCGGTATGGTAAAATTACGGAAGGATCAATTTCGATATGGATATGGATATTGATTATCGGAAGAATGAATTCATACTTTATGATTAAGGTGATCACCACGCGTACATGACTACTTTATCTTCGTATGTTTGAATTTATATATATATATATATATATATATATATATATATATATATATATGTAGAATATATTATATACATTTTACAATGTATAGACATTTAACAATCGTTGTGTTTTTGTTCTTCTTTTTTCTTTTTTCCCTTTTTTTTTTTTCTTTCTTCTTTTTTGTTATACAGATATATACGCTTAATCCAATCTACGAGAATTCATTTTAAGACAGAATTCTTTACTAGCAGTTTTATGCCATTATCCTTTCTTGTCTTGTCCCATATCCTTATCTATTTATCTATGCATATTCTATTTTCTTTCGATTATCTTTCTCTCGTAGCTTCATATTATCGGATGATTGAAAACTTTTTTATTCGAATCACGAAGGCAACATCACGTTTCAACGATCTTTCCTTCGGATACCTTCGAATATTCACACGTACGCAAATGCAAACAAAAGCGCGCGCGCCCTCCCCCCTCCGTACATATCTGTACCTTGAATATATTATTTTCTCCTTTGAATTTCGAATAATGATAATGTAAATAATATACGAAAAGAAATTTGTTTGATATGTAATATTGAATAAATAAATAAATAAATAAATAAATAAATAAATTGCGATTAGTTAAATGGGATGAATTAAAAATGTATCGTTTAAAATGAATCCCTTGTGTAGGAAATGATGAGTTTAGTTAACATAAATTTTCCCACGGCCAAAATAAACTTTATAATTAAATATTTATCGTTCAAATTATCATCATATTCGGTAAACGATTATTATTGATTTGTTTAAACAAAATATTTGATATTAATAAACAACGATAAATTTTACAATTTAATTTCATTCAGATGATATGAAAAAGGGCGTTTTCTTTTAAATAATACGTATTAAAAAATACGTATTAAAAAATAATGATGTAACAATTTGTAACATATACATTAATAATTATACAACTTCTTATATATTTAGAAATAAATATATACGTAATATGTGGAGAATAATTTTGTCCATGTGGAGAATAATTTTATAAAGTTACCCAACAAAAATGTCTACGTGAGAATTGAGAGAAAAGAAACCGTACTTTTTTCTTTTTCCTTTTTCTTTTCTTTTGTAATTTTCTTCTTTATCATTTTCGAACTGAACGAATCGCGTTAGAAAAAAAAAGAAAAAAAAAAAAAGAAAAGTTTATCAAAACGTTTGACAACGTTATGCTATTAAAGAAAAGAAGAAACATTAGAATGTTCGGCCAGATCTCGAGGACTCAAGCCGAGTTTGACCTGGTTTCCTTCCGGTCGGTATTTTCTCTCGGTTTTCTCCACGTTTTATCGTTCTTTCTCTCGCACCTTTTTCTTTCCGGTTACTGCATACTTTATTTTAACTGAGAGATAGGAGAAAGAATAGGAGAGAAAGAGAGAGAGAGAAAGAGAGGAAGACGGAAGAAGAAATGGCTTTATATACGTTTATCCAGTCCGGAAGTGGCGGCTGTTCGTCGTCCGGTCGCGTCGCGACGCTCGGGTTCGCTTTAAATTCTCAGAGAATTTCTCAATTTATAGTTTTCCTCTTGGTTCCTGAAGTTTTCAAGGGACTACGAACAAGGTAGAAGTAAACTCTAAAGAGAAAGAGTAGACGAGGAGGAAGTTCGATTCGAAGCGAGTTTAGTTCCTTTAAGTATGATTGTAAACAGTTTTCCGGACATGTCAACCTGTTTCACTGGAAATTGCTTTGAAAATGTCACTTGATAGTTGTTTCACCATTAAGCGTTTACATGTCACGTGCAAAGATTAACGCGAAATATTATTAGAATTTTAACGATATATTTGACGATTTTTAACGTTTAACGTGATTTTTAAGATTTTATTTTTTAGATATCCTTTCTTTTCTTCTTTTCTTTTTTTTTTTTTTTTTTTTTTTTTTTTTTGAAAAGAAAAAAAAAAAGAAGAAACATTATTAATTAATCGTCTTAAAGGTTTTAAATTATCTTTTTTTTTTTTTTTCTTTCTGTTTTCCTTCACAGTTAAAACGCGAGATCACGTTATCGCGTGACTATCAAAGCTATCAAAGTGAATGCATAGAATGGTATTTATTATACAGACATTTAAAATGGATAATATTCTTATAATAGGATAATTACGTATGCATAATAAATGTGATCGCGTCGAAAAATCTAAGCATATTTTTTTTTTCTTTTTTTTTTTTTTTTTTTTTTTGAAGAATTCGAAGATACTTCCACTTTCGAACTAGTCCAAAAGAAAATCCCTAGCGAACCAGTTACGGGAATTTATGTTAGAGAGTTTTCGCAGGGCGCCTCAACCAAGTCTACCTTTCTGGCCACCACGATACAAGCGTTCTCGTGTTTGTAGAGGTTTATCCGGAACCTTCTCGAGAACCGTCTAGGAATTCCAGTCGGAATTGCCGAGCTCGCAGTGGCTGGGCTGTCGGATATTTATGCTAAATAGGGATTTTGAAATACGATATTGCTCCCTTGCGCGGTCTCACAGCGTAATAGTAGAAACATCGTAAGAGAAGGATGAGAAAGAGAAGAAGGAGATGGAGGTCGCCTAGCATGTTCCAAAGCGAGAATACCATTAGAAAGGGAAAAGGGCCAAAGTAATTTCGGTCTAATGCGAATGAAAACGAGATATTCGTAGTTCGACGCTCTCAACCAAATGGATTTCACTTAGGAAATCTTCGTCGCGCGATCATTTTTCTTCCTTTACCTAAGTTTTCGAGTATCAATATAGGCGTGTAAAAAGAAAAAAAAAGAAAAAAAAAGAAAAAAAAAAGAAAAAAAAAGAAGAATAAAAAAGATGTGTCTGTCTCTCCTCGCATAAATTTGCTCGTATTCATTTCATCGTACATAAAATATAGTTAATATGGGTTGTAGCTTTTTAAAACATCAAATCGATATATATGTGTGTGTGTGTACATATATATTATATATATATATATATATATATATATATATATATATACATATATACATACATGAATCAAAATCTAAATTTTACAAAATTAAACTGCACTTAGCTTGACCCAAAAGTCGCTTCAATAAATATGCTAAAATTCAAACGTGCCTCTCGCCGCTCCTACTTACGTAAACTAATGTGCGTTTCGTGCTAACTCCTCTTATCGTTCATAGTTCTGGAATCGCTAATATAACGCGATCACGTTATTTCTCACAGTTTTGACCTAATGCCGAACACGCCCGGCAAATGACGTATTTGATTCGACGAGTAAACGATCGAATAGCTTTCTGATATATATTCTATCTGACACACACACACACACACACATATATATATATATATAAATATATATAGTTACATATACATATATGTACATCGTACCTATTGAGAAAGAGAGAAAGGGTGACTTTTTGATCTTGGAATGAAGCAAATTGTACGTCGTGACCAGACATAAAATAGTTGATTAGTTTCGGAACAGGGTATACTGAGTTGATATATGTGTGTGTGTATGTGTGTGTATACATGTAGATACGTATGTATGTTCTTGTTATACTATTGTTACTATGACAAGAAATCATCGAGAGAAGAAAATTACTCTCTCCTTCTCTCAGGTCTCTACCGTTCGTTTAAAATTTACACTTTCAATCGCAATTTGATAAGAAAGAAAAAAAAAAAAAAGAAAAAAAAAAAAAGAACATTCCACCTTTAAAACTTACCACGTATTGCAGGTTCGTCGTCGACTTGAAATTTTAACGAGCTCGCCCTTCTTGAAAACCTCAAAACGTGCCACATGTCGTCATTTAAGCCCTGTCCGACCGTCAAGCTCTGAAAAAATTATAAGGAACAAAAATGTTATATCAGTGAAAAGAAATTTATATTATTTTATTTTTCCTCGATGGATAATTGTATATCTCTATGTGATCCATTTTAATCGCAATAAAAATTAAACAATAAGCAGATTATTTTTCTTTTATTTATTTATGTTTTAATTTGAGAAACAAGTTGTTATATTTGTATTGAAATTAATTTTATATTTTTTTTTTCTTTTAATGTAAACACTTTTAAACGTATTGTTTCATAAACATTAGATTTATATATACATATATATATATATATATATATATATATATATATATATATTTTTTTTTTTTTTTTATTATAACGCAATAAAGATTCTTTTTCTTTTCGTTATAACATTTGATATTATCACGTCAATCAAAGTTGATATAAATTGCAAAAAAAAAAAGAAAAAAAGGAAAGAAAAAGAAAGAATAACATTTTTAATTTTCACAATTATAACCACAAAAAAATCCGTCAATCTGTCTTATAAATTTAGTATTAACGTTAAAATTATCAACAATTATTTTAATACATTATGCATCTCAAATAGAAAAAAAGAAAAGAAAGAAAAATAAAATAGAAAAAGAGGAAAAGAAAAAAAGGAATTCGTAAAATCGATCATATTTAAACATATAATAGCAAAGAGAGTTAATAAACTCGTATTGTGATGAAACGTGCGATAAAAATTGTAAGTAGAGATTTTTTTTTATAAAAACGCTTGAAATATATAAGTAATATTGACTGTTCGGGTAAATCCAGTGTTAAACTAGAATCATTTAAACTTCAAGTTTATCGATAACGACGTAACACTTGTTAAGTGATAATGTTACAACGTAAGAATGTACGTAAGAGAGAGAGAGAGAGAGAGAGAGAGAGAGAGAGAGAGAGAGAGAGAGAAGAGAAAGAGAAGTAGAGAAAGAGAAGGAAGTGGTGAGAGTAATCGGTCGTTAAAGAATGAAAGGAGGTCGTTAAATATTTTCCAGGTCCTTTTATCGGTTGGCCACTTTACACGTTCGCACGATTCTCGGATTATAGGTATTATTCGTTGGAATATTCGTTGGCTCGTAGTCACTCGCTTACATTATTTGTCGGAGAGAGCTAGTGGCGGATTAAAGGGAGGTCGCGGCGTTATCGCGTGCTGAACGGCGAACGTTTAATTTCCGTTCTCTGATTTTTACCGATATTCCTCGTTTACATGCGCCCAATGCGTCTACCTGCTACGTATATATGTATATTGGTATATGTATCTATACAAACATATATATATATATATATATATATATAAATATATGTATGTATGTATGTATGTATGTATGTGTGTACGTATCTATGTCTCGACGTTTGTTGAATTGGTATCGCTGATGCGCTTTGCTTAAATGCCGAGGAAATTCCTATGGAGAAATTCACGATTGAAATTTCATCGTCCAAAAATATTTCAATCGAATTATGATGATGATAATAATAATAATATTTTTATTATATATATAATAATTATTATTATTATTTTTATTATTATTATAAAAATGAATATCAGAGATCTGAATTATTGTCACGCATTGACCTGTTAAATTCCTCTGATGAATATTTTATTTAATTAGTCAACTTTAAGAATATCGTTCGTTCTTAAAAAAGAAATTAAATATTTTCTATATTAATAAATATATTATACTATGAATTTTAATAAGTAAGTATATAGGATTGTCATCCTATCGTTAATTTGTTAACTCGGATTAATTTTTTAATTAGTTCCAATTAACAAGGGTATATAATTAATTCGTAATAAAAACAATACATCAAAAAGTGATACAAAAGAGATAGATAAATAATGTGTTCCGCAATGAAAAAGGATCTACGTAAATAATACAGTTAGTCTTTTATCAGGAATGCAATTAAATTTTTCTAACGAGCGAATACATAATTCGTTTACCTTAGTTAACAAGTTAACAGGGTATTACGGTACTTTAGTTTTTGCTTCGTTAATAATAAGAGAGATTAGTTAGAGAAGAGTGATTCATTAATTGATGGATATAATTACAATGGGAAAGATCGAAGTTAAAAATTATCCTTTTCTGATGCTTCTTTCTTTCCTTTCTTTTTCTTTTTCTTTTTCTTTTTTTTTTTTTTTTTTTTTTTTATTATTATCCAGCAGTTTAAAACTTGATTAAGGCCATCATAAAACATTGTTCCGAAATATATACGAATCTCAGTCAGTGTGGCCAATAAAACGTCCATCTTATATTAGAGGATGCTCGATAACAGTGACGTAGAGCTGACGTTAGGTGACAAACGTGCGTCAGCCGGTGGATGATACATGAGCATCGTGTAGCCCACGGCGTTGTGGCAGGCGGACAGCCGTTGCAGGAACAAACAGATAGTGACGAGTTGTCCAAATTTATGAGGGTTTAACCAAATGAGACTGGTCGTTCGTGAATGGTTTGTCGATGGCTACTGTTTACCTTTAACTTTACCAATCGATGTTGATGTTGTTAAAGCCAATGAGAACTGGCCATAAAATATCGTCGAGAGTTTTCATACATTGTAAATTACATTGAAAGAATTTAATCGACGTAATAATAAAGGATGACTGTTAATCCCGTTAGAGAGAACGATGAGTAAACGTTACATTGCGTAAATACAATGTGAATATTTTCGAAGAAAATCATTTCGAAAATCTATCGATTAGAACATTTTGCGTTTGAACGTTGATTATGGTATTATTATTATTATCATTATTATTATTGTTATTATTATTGTTATTGTTATTATTATTGTTATTGTTATTATTACTATTATTATTAACTTTTCATAAAACGTTATTCTCAGATAGATTCTCTCAAAATTCATTCTCGATGAATTTGGAGGTCATGCGGGAAGTGACACTTCTTTTTTTCCCTTCTTTTTATCTATCTTTTTTCCTTGCCAAAAAATATCACTCAAATAAAATGTCTTCTCTTTGTTCAACAATTTATCGGGCCATTCTCGTTTCTATTGTTTTTCATCAAACGTTTCGATATACGCGCTATGGATTGATGCGAATCAAACACGGTTATTAACTTGTTAACCAAAAAGATTTTCGTTCGATGAATGTGAAACGTAGGAAAATTTATTTTGATTGAAAATAAATAAATCGTATCGTTGAAGAAAGGAAGTTACGGACGAATAAATAAATAGTAACGAAAATAAAGAAGAATAAAATGGCAATGATTTTTTTGTACTTGCTTCTTTTTTTTTTGCTTTTTTCTTTTCATTTTCTTTTTTTTTTTTTTTTTTTGGATAAAACGAAACGTAACGATTTATTCGTATAGATCGGTCAAGTTTGAATTTGTTAAATAAATATCCATATTAAAATCTATTTTCATATTTCCAACATAATTTTTTTAATCTCTATAGTTAATCATACAAAAGTAATAAAACAGATTTGTTCTTGAAGTTCTACATAGCCTTGAGCGATTTCGATAGCTCGTTTTGTTTCGTTCGCACGTTTTATTTCGATTATGAATTTTACGCGCGCCTATATATACATATAAATATATATACATATATATATATATATATTTTTTTTTTTATATATACATATATAATATATATACATCCAATACGTTCATATGTCATTCGTTCTCGTTCGGTTTCGATTCTGTTAAATTTTCGTTTAACATCGCGACTGCCTCGGGTATTACGACAGGCAGACAGCGGTAATACCTATATATTATTCTCTCTCATCTCGAATTCTCTTTAATGTTGTTCGAATTACGAACGTGCTGAATAAATCCAATAGTTTTTGTGTGGAAGCGAGAAACGAAAATAAAATTGCCGGTAGATAGATAAATAGACATCTATCTATCTATCTAGCTAATTAACTAACAGTTCTTATAAATATCATCGAGCGTTGATTTTTCAATGAAAAAAAGAAGAACAAAAGAAAAAAGAAATGGATAAAGAAGAAGAAAATGAAGAAATGGATAGCTCTCTGGATGGCTAACATGTCGCACAAAAAAGTGTTTGCCGCTATCGTTCTCGCTGTTACCTACACAACCACAGTCATCATTGAGAATAGAAGAAACGTGTGCGCACTTTTCCATGCCGAGAGTGAAATTACATGGAAAGTCTATCGGGCGAGCGGATATTACGATTTCTCTTTTCTGAATATCATTGCCGTTTCTCTCCTGGGAATAGGAAATCGCAGCCCGTTTATGCCGCATCTCGAACATCGTCTCGTCATCTACATATAGACTACGTGCATACTACTTGTATGTATATATATATATATATATATATATATATATACATATATATAAAGAGAGAGATATTGTCTTTTCTTCGCGAATTTTATAGGAAAGAAACGAGAAAGGAAAAAAGTAAGGGAAAAAAACAATTCTTACTTTCTTACGCGATATCATTCGAAAGAGAATTGAAAGAGGCTATCAGAATTGTTCATAAATGAAAATTAGTATCTTCGATTTTACTGTTTTTCGTATACTTTTTTAAAAAACTCGAAATACACACATACACACACACGCGCGCGCACATTAACTCACACACACACATATATATACGTATAAACGAATATATGTAGTACGAGTGTGCAATAAAACAAGCGCCATCGAGTATTCCTATTTTTTTGTTTTTTTTTTTTGTTTAATTTCTCTTTTTTCGTTTTATCCCTTTCACCTTTCCCCGCTTTTATTCGCGATAGTGATCGAAGCTCGCATGGAGACTCGTTTAGTTTTATTTTCTTTTTCTTCTATTTTTTTTTCTTTTTTTTTTATATGTACATATATATATATACGTGTGTGTGTATGTATGTATATGTTAGCATGCCAAGTGTCCACCATTTTAACGGAAAAATATTTTTCATAGCTGAGTTTGTCCATTGTGTATACATATGTATATATATATATATATATATATATATGTATGTATGTATATATCATATATATTGTACGTATGTAAAGACACGTATGCATATCTATATGTATATGTATATGTATATAAATAAGTTGAGAATTCTGTGAATGTTCCAAGATGAAAATTGAATTTAATATTTAACAGTAGTGACGTTTGAATTTCGATTATCTTTGAATAATCAGGAGAAACAGGTTGAAAGCATAAACTGAGATAGAGGAAATAGAGTGACAAAGAGAGTTTCTAATTTTGAAGTTTGCAAGTGATTAGCAAACTCGGACGTTTCGCCTTCGGGGTAATTCTAGAAGATAGAGCATTAACGGATCAATTATTATTCCATAGGATTATCAGAGACCCTATAGGCATATAACTATTATTGCGAGTGATTGAAATGTTATCGTGAATTTACTTGGACGTTTTGGTCACCGTTGTCCGATCGCTTCCCTTCAAATTCTAAGTTTCCTTCTGAAAATACCTTCGAATCTTAGCGTCAATCTATATACGTACATATATACATACTTACGTTACATTACATACATACATTACATACATATAGATAGATAGAGTTAAATAGCTTTCGAGTAGAGGTACTTCATCGATTTGCTTTTGGTCTTCTCTCTTAGACGTCGTCTTCCGACGTTTAACGTCCAAAAGATTGAGAACTTTGATGAACAGTGTTACTTACCTACATGTTACCGATATTCCACACTAAAGTTTGAACCCCGTCAATGAATAGAGAAATGTTCCCACGATTATCGCGATAATTTCATAGAATATTTGCTCGGTGCAATAACAATGTGGATTTATAATTATGTATATGTCTATAATCTTTGTTTGACCTACATTTCATTTTTACATATTAAATATTATTATATTATGTCTTGTTAATTAAATAATGTTTCTTTTGTTCCTTTATTTTTTCTTTTTTTCTTTTTTTTTTTTACCATCATAATATTTATTCTTTATTCTTCTTTATCCATTTATTATCCATTTATTATTCTTTATCCATTAAACTACTTTGCAAGGTTTTAATAGGATAATTTTAGTTTTTTATGGAAAGTTTAACAAATGGTTATTTACGAAATTATTTGGAATTATTTAAAAATCCATTGAGATCTTAAATCTTTACATTTTATATTAAAGTCTAAATATATGCTCGTGTGTGTAGGTTTAGGTGTGGGTGTATAAATTTCTATGTAGGTGTATGTGGGCGTGCCAACTTTATTACCGTTCGTTGTTTGCTAATGGTTAATTGGAATGACTTGAAATTTATACTAAACAATGAAATTACGTGCAAAGAGAAATCTGAAATAATTCCGATCGGATTTGATGAACGATTTAAAAATGATGGTATCGTAAAAAATATATATGTATGTATATATGTATGTTATGTATGTATGTATGTATATACATGTATTTACAAAAGAAATGAAAAAAATTGTAAAAGAATATTTAAAATAGTATTAACGATTAATGTGCGAACCACCCATATTGGTTGTATTTATCATGAAAGAGTGAAGCTGAGCTACACAGACGAATAACATGCATTCTTTTTTCATTCACTTTAATTTTTTCACATCTTTTGTTTTCAACGTTTCAAAGGTATGCATACACATTTATAAAAGTACAAGAAAATAATAATAATAATAATAATAATAATAATAATAATAATAATAATAATAATAATAATAATAATAATAGAAAAAATACATCTCTTTTTCTTTTCAAGATTTTAATTACTTCGTGATTAAAATTACGACGGAATTTTAAGGGCAAAGTTTGGATAGAAAATAGCATTAGTTACGATTTTCATACTCATGTGTTTTGCATCAAACAACGCCATCTGTTTCTGATACGTTATTTGCAAGCAGAGCTTGCAAGCTCGCGGTTGTTGTCGTAGCGAAGGCACCGAGTCAAACGAGTGTTCTTGTACGTTCTATCGTTTATGTATATATGCACGTATGTATGTATGTATGTATGTATGCATGTATGTATATATGTACGTACGTAGGTAAGTTGGTGCTGTACGTTCGAGTAAATATCAGGTGTAACTAATCTACAAAGGCGTGCGCGAGTGGCTTTGCGAAGTCATCCGATGAAACTTCCGGAAGGGAAACTTTGAGCCTCCCCCCATCAACTACGATAGGTTTAAGGGAATATTAATGCGCGTGACAAGGTAGAATATCACGCGTGCCAACTATAACGCGTGAATCTACTTCCGGCTTAGAACGAAAATGTTGCGTGTAAATTGCTATAACAAAACCAAAGAGGGAGAGGAAAAGAGAGAGAGAGAGAGAGAGAGAGAGAGAGAGAGAGAAAGAGAATGATATGAAACTAGTAAACGCATTCTATTTTTATCAACACGATGAGAAAAGTTTTACGTAACAAAAGACGGGAGAGGATAGAGAAAATATTTGACACGAATATTGAATGAATTTATGAAATATCGAAACGAATTTCCTGAAAATGTTGAAGGACGATTACCTTTAGTGGAATCTATTTCGTCCTGAATATTCAACTTTTAGAGTTCATTGAGATTTAATCGTGAATGCAGTGATTTTCATAGGAATAAGTAATTAGTAGGAAAAGAGAGAGAGAGAGAGAGAGAGAGAATATTTGGTCTGTAGAGACGCATTAGCGCGCATCTCGACCACTTAATTAGTCGTTGAAAATTTCATGCTTACATTAGGTCTCTCGCTATTTTCGTTAGATCGATAATGAACGTTCCCCCTGGTCCGACCTTTAATACATTTTTCCTACTCTTTCTTTGTTTTCTTTTCCTTTCTTTTTTGTTTTCCTTTTATTCTTTTATTTTTTCCATGAACGAATGGAATTGATTATGTGAACAATATCTGTCAGACAGACGATAGAGAAAACTTTGTCTTCGACGATCGTCTCATGACGACACGAAGACACATTTGTCAAAGATATATAACAGATAGTTCTCATTGATGAACTAAAATGTCTCGAACTTTAGTTCTCTCTCTTTCTCTCTCTCTCTCTCTCTCTCTCTCTGTACGTATGTATGTGTGTATGTGTGCGTGTGTACGTGTTTCGTTTATTATTATATACGTAACAAATTTTAACGAAATGTATCGATCGTCTAAAATTAGAATTAATTAAAACGAACAAAAGTTTCTCCTTTACGTGCTTGCATAAGAGAGAGAGAGAGAGAGAGAGAGAGAGAGAGAGAGAAAGAGAGAGAAAAAAAAAGAAAAAGAGATAAAACATTAATAAAACAAAATTAATATAAAAGAAAACGTCTATCACAAGTTACATAAAAGTAAATAAAACCAATAAGAATTTTTTTCTATGAAATAATAAATTAAGTAGGAAATGTTAAGAAGAAAAAGAAAGAAAAAAAAAAAAAGAAAAAAGAGAAAAAGAAAAAAAGAAAAAAAGAAAAAATAAAAAAGTAATTAGCGTAATCGATAAAATAACAATTAAAAATCCAAGATAAATCATTGGTTCTGGATAAATTATGAGATATCGATAATTGTTCCTAAAACGAGATAGAGTTTTGAAAAAAAAAAAAAAAAAAAGGAAAAGGAATACATTGAGTACAGATGTGGTGATTGTCAATGACGACGACGACGACGACGACAATGACTACAACGACGACAAGAACGATAACGAAGACGATGAGAAAAATGTAATCCTATTTACGTAAGCACGTTCCCGTTAATCTTTGTCCGTTCGATGTTACCCGCCAGAAAGAATATCGCTTTTGGTGAAGATGCGAGGCCGACGGACCGCTAAGATCCATTTACTGACTGGAACTTTGCTCCTTTGATGTATTAAGTTAACGTCCGAACAGTGTGGCGACCTACTCTTCTTCTTCTTCTTCTTCTTCTTCTTCTTCTTCTTCTTCTACTGCTTTTTTCTCTTTATTCTTCTTCTTCTTGAACGCGCGTGCGCGCGCGAGTGAACGAGAGATAGAGAGAGAGAGAGAGGGGGAGAGGGGATAAGAAAAAAAGAGAAGAGTATGGCGCACTTTTCTAACAACGCTAAAAGTGCTTTCAACTCTTCGAGCTTGCTTGGGACGGTCCAAGAGCTACCAACGAAGATCTTCCTAAATTATGAAGAGAGACGTGGACCGGAATGCTCTCGTAAAATCGAGTTAATGCTCCTTCGAACGTTACTGCCACTTCGTTTCTTTTTTTTTTTTTTCTTTTTTTTTTTTTGCTTCTTTATTTCCTTCTTTTTATTTCTCTAATACTCACTCTTTATTTATCTACCTATCTATCTATCTACCTATCTATGTGTCTATCTGTCTATCTATCTGTTTGTCTCTCTCTCTCTATCTCTCTCTCTCTCTCTCTCTCTCTCTCTCTCTCTCTCTCTCTCTCTATCTACTTTATAAATTATATCGAACGAAAGTTTTAATTCGTTCGAATGACTTTTTTTTTTAATCTTCAAGAATACCAATAATCGATAAAATAAATATATTTTGGGTTTGCCACAAATTTTTTTATTAAATATCGTTGAATTTAATTTTCGTTAAAACAAACGGCAATATCGCTGTGAAATATTGATTTGATCATGTAATAAGAATACGAGATAATAGAATCGATTAATTAATTAATCGTATAAATGTTAAATTATTGTTAATAAAGAAATAGTATTTGGTCCGATTATATTCAATTATTTTTTAGTTTTTTAGTATATATATATATATATATATATATATATATATATATATAAGATATTTCTAAATTGATATAGATAAATACTGTTTAATTAGACAAAAGATTTAATAAACTCAATTTGCGTTAAACTAATTAATTTATCATTGTCTACGCATCATAATGTCTACGTGAACTTTAATATTTATTTATTAGATCAATGCATTTGTTTTGATTAATTCAGTTGATAAAAAAGTTAAAGTTATTCTTATCTCGTTCATTCAATAATAACAACAAAAGCATACAAACATATCCGTTATATTCGTAACTCAGTACATTTCAAAAAAGATTTTAAAAACACTTTCGTAAGCTTACCTTTTCCCTGTCACCGATATGAATGAGCATTTTAGCTTTTCCCTCCTCGAGGAATATTTGCAAACGATCGCTGCTATTTTCTAAACTCGTAGCTATCAATAAACCACGTGGCCTGGTCGTTTTGAAACGTACGATAACTTCTTCGGCTTGCGTTCTCGAGTCATCCGGCATGAGTGCAGTCATTTGTTGGGTCCCATTTAAATGTAGGGTCGAAGCGTCTGAAAGAAATCAAAAGATAATTCAATCAAATTAGAAATAAATAGATCATATTCGAGAGATTTAATTTGTTTTTCTTTTACGATGAATAGAATCCGTTTGAAGTAGATATTTTTTTTTTTTTTTTTAGAATAATCTCGTTGAACGATAATATCATTAAATTTTTTATTCTTTTCCTTCATTTTTTTTTTCTTTTTTTTTTTTTTTAATTTTTTTCATTGAACGAAACGTTCGTTACTAAACCCTAACCGATTTGAAATCGATGAATTATTAGAAAAAAGAAAAAAAAGGAAAAGGAAGAAAAAAAATTAAATCCACTGACGAAGGAATAAGGAATCAAAAGGAAGAGATTACTTACCCTTTCCACAAGTAGGACCGGTAAATGGTGTTCCGGTACAATCGCAATGGAATCTGTTCCAACCCTCGAGACAATATCCACCATGCATACATGGTTGTGAGGAACAATGTAGGGATGGTTGGGCGTGACAGGCTGGCCTCACGGCACCTAACAAATCGTCGTGAATTTTCTTGTTAAATCGATCTATAACACGTACTAAGACTTTCTGTGATAGTGGCCTACTCGAGTCAGATAATGGCTCCTATAATCCATGTTGAATTTAATTTTGACGAGTGCCACTCGAACGAGATGGTCCGCTACTCGAGTAGAGAGACATTCTCGTTCTACTCGAGGAAGAAGTGTATCAAAAGAAAAGAAAAAAAAAAAAAAAAGAAAAAAGAAAAAAGAAAAAAAAACGAAAGAAAAAGAAGAAGAATAAGAAGTAGAGGAGAGGAAAAAGAAAAAGAAAAAAAAAGAAGAAGAAGAATGAAACGAATGTAAAGTGTATGAGAGCAATGTTAAGAGAATAACGAAAACACGCAAGCTGCGGTGTCCGAGTGGTTAAGGAGTCAGACTCGAAATCTGATGGGCTATGCCCGCACAGGTTCGAATCCTGTCCGCAGCGAAATTTTTAAAAGGGGAAAAAAAAAAGAGGAAGAGAGAGGTGAATTTTTTTTTTCTTTCTTTCTTTCTCTTATATACATTTAGAAAAAAAAGTTTTTTCCATTATTTCCTTAAAAAAAGAAAGACTTTAAATACCGAGCTAATCTTAATTGTTAATTGTTCGTGGAAAAAATAAAGATAAAGAGGAAGATTAATTTCTGCAACGTAAAAAATCAAACGTACATACATTATCGTCATTCAATATGAGAGAATTCTTATATAAAGGAATATAAATATTTTAATGTTTAAAATATCTATAAAGTAGTCACCTGAATCTTGTTGCTGTGCATATCCAGCGATGTCAACGGGATGACCATTAATAACGAGATCTCTCATGCAACCGACATAGCCTTGTCGCAATGTACCAGTCCATAGGACTGGTGGGACAGTCAATGGAGCGAAGGGTGCTCCTACTCCACCGATGTAAAGCAATCCATCCAAATCGAGTTGGGTCGAATCGCCTGACCGAAAGAAATGTACTTGATGTTCGATCAGTCGTTATGAAATTCATAGAAACGTTATGTACTTCGTTTCTTTTGAGGAATCTACGCGTAGAGGGAAAAAGGAAAAGAAAAAGAAAGAAAGAAAGAAAGAAAGAAAGAAAGAAATGAAAGAAAGAAAAGAAAGAAAAAAGGGAGAAAGCGGGAGGAGAGGGAGGGGGAAGAATACATTCGCGTTTGAAAAATATCAGATAAAATTTGTTCATTGAACGGCACTTATATGCTTCCAAATGAATTCGCAACGAGTAATAGAAAGAGAGTAGAAGGGAAAGAGAGAGAGAAAGAGAGAGAGAGAGAGAGAGAAATAGGCCAAAATCACTGGATTGCTAGGGAAAAATTTTTAAAGCTGACTTTTCTGAACAAATTATCGCTCGTTTAATTTTAAATGTCCGGTGACTATCGACGGTGAGAGATTGAGCACGTAGGTTGACATTTTTTGGTTTAGATTGTATTGCTCTTTTATATTTTCACAATTACTAGACAAATCAAGTAGGTAAACTCGCGATTTGTCAAATTAACGAGAAATTCGAGAGGCGAAGTAGATTCGCCCTCTCTTTTTCCCTTTTCAACGAGAAATACAAGTATCGAATAAACACGGTCCCTGTCGTTTTTTTGTATTTCTCTATTTTCGTTTTTTTTATTGCCTTTTTTTTCTTTTTTTCTTTTTTTAATTATTGTTTCAAATTTTTTTCTTTTTTTTTTTTTTTTTTTTTCTTTCTTTAATCATCTTTTTATTTCCTTCTTTCAAGTAAACGAATGAGAGTAAGAGGACGAAATAAAAATAATAATGAAAGAGAGAGAGAGAGAGAGAGAGAGAGAGAGAGAGAGGGTAGAGATGGGTTTTTAGCACTTTGCAAACATGACGCTTGGTAGACAAATGCGATTAAAAATCTAGAAACTCTTTTTGCAAGTAGACCAAGCTCGATGGTTTATAGTTTCGAAGGATGAGGGTCGATGGATAAAATAAATTTTCGAATGTCGAGAGATGTGAAAAGTTATCGATCGGGTTTGTACTCTTGATTCGTGCCAAGGAACATGGTACGGTGTTAGATAGTTCGAAGAAGAACCCATCGACTTTCTCAAGTCGGTAGGGGTTTACGTGCCGGTATTATTCAGAGAAACGCGAGCTTGACGAATGAAAGACATACCCCGGAAGTCACGGAAAGTCACGAAACTTGGTTGGTAGATATTCGGATGGTGGTTACATATACGATGGGCTCGACGTTTACAGAGAAAGTCCGTCTTTCAACGATGGCCTCGCGAAGTAAAAGACATCTTGGCGATCGTCAAGCAGGAGGAGGAGGAGGAGGAGGAGGAGGAGGAGGAGGAGGAGGACTTAAAGGAATATGGAGTAAGATGTGAAGTGGTAGGTCGAGTGTGTACGAATAGAAGGATAAGAGGAGGATGAGGAGAAGAAGGAGGAGAACTGAACAACCCGATATTCCTTCTTGCTAAAGTTCGAGCGGTAGATATTATTCGAGGCGTAGACTAGTGTTGAGCTACGATGAAGGACCTACACCCGGAAACTCCAAACTTCCTGTTTATTTATAGGTTTAATAAAGCCGTAGAAAGTCCACGAAATGTACTTCGCGTCCTCGTTCGCCAGGCTCTCGAGTTTCGAAAATTATTAACGGCATTTGTTTCCCAGATACCTACCGACCAACCGTTCGGCCGTTGTGTCTTCTTCCATTGTCTCTCTTAATTAGCGAATTTATATATATATATATATATATATATATATTTTTTTTTTTTCTAGAAAGGAAAGAGAAGAAAAAGGAAAAAAAAAGAAAAAAAGAGAAGGAGAGAGAGAGAGAGAGAAATATTCCAAGTAGTGTAATATTTACGAAAGAGAAAGTTCTATTACAAATAGAGAATTCGAGGATCGTCGACACCATTTACGTGTATGTACCTTTAAGAGTCTTACGAAAAATCGATCGCGTTCCTCGAAGCTAGCCTAGCACTTTCACAGTGCTAGGCAGAGTTATTTTTCAGTGGTCGCTACTGTCTGGCCGAGTGAGAGCGGTTGGTTAGTTGCTCCAACAGATAAGTGTACTCGAGCATGTAACTCTGAATTACGAGTACCTCTTTTGCCCTTTCTACGTTCCCAATCTCGTCTGTCTGTCTCTCTGTCCGTTCGTCCGTCCGTCCTTCTATCTCTATCTCTTTCTTCTTTCTCTCTTTCTTTTTTCTTTTTTTCTTTTATCTCTTTCCGTTCTTCATTTCATCCTGCAACGTCGTAGTCGAGAAGAAACGAGTGTTATATGCATGCTGGAGGGATATGCTTTAGCGATAAAACACAATGTGTCCGACACAGGACATAGGGAAAAATTGATTTACGATTCGTATAAGAGAAAAAAGAAGAGGAAAAAAAATAAAAGAAAAAGAGAGAGAGAGAGAGAGAGAGAGAGAGAGAATAAAAAAAGAAAAAGTAGTAGTCACCTGGTGTACGAAATTCTACGGTAGAGTCGTCGACAGTAACACGACCATCCCGGTCGACACGTCGTAGGGCCACGTCATGCCATACACCATCGTCAACTCGTTGCTTCGATGCTCTCACCTTTACGGATCCGCTTCCAAGATCGGCATGGAGATAAAGGTGTCCACCTAAGATCTCAAATGCGAAGAGATCTTCCTGCGTGCGTGTACGCATTTGTATGCATGTGTTTTTGCGCGTGAGAGAGAACAAAAGAGAGAACAAAATTTATTCAAGTATTTTTTTTTCTTCCTTCTCCTGAATTTCATTGCAACCCATTGTACACTTTCATCACATTATTTTCACAATCTAATATATATTATTATCATTGTTATTGTATTTATTATTTATACATGATTATTTAATGTGACATTTGTAATAACGAAAAATGGCCCGATATATCGTTCTTTTTTTCTTTTTCTTTTATAATAAGAATCAATCGAAATTATTTTCAATATCAAAAGAGTTAAACTAAGGATAAAGACAATGAAGATTATCCATTTAAAAAGTGAAATTATTTACATCCTTAGGAGTAATGTCCTCGGGAGAATATCCTTATGAAAAATGAATCACTTTAATATGTAGCAATAAAGTAAAGATTTACTAGCTTACTTTGTAAATTAGTGCTCACTGTTTCCTAAAGTAGGTTAAAGAAAGGATGCTATTTTAAAGTTGTGACGGGTGGTCCGACATTGCCGTCACCTATTTTAAAGTTTTACCGCACGTAAATAGAATCACTAATAATCTTTACTTTATTATATTAAATCGTTACGTATATAAACATGACAGTAGAAAAATCGACCGTTACATCGTCGTTATCACAGCCCGATCGAGATAACAATGATTACGCAGAAATATGCGTAAAAAAAAAAAAAAAGAAAAGAAGAAAACAAAGAAATAAAAATAAAAAACGACTATTCGATTTGTATGAAAAGAAAAAAAAAAAAAAAAAAAAGAAAAAGAAAAAAAAACATCATAAAAATGTTCGGACATAATGCGAATTGACAAGTTCTTTGACAACAGAAGGATGAATATCGTATGGATTTTGAATATATTTCGAAAATTTTCGATGATGTTTCTTGTCAAAATAATCCGAACAGCATTGAACTATGGTACAATCGAAAATGCATATCCTGTCTTTGTCGGTCATAGAGACTGGCCTAAAGGTAATTTAATAACTGATGCATAAATTTTGAACTTTTCCCGACGCCTACGCGTCCTTTTCCTCTCAAGCGATGAATTCGCTTGCTCGTTTGTCCACCAATGTGAATTTTATTGATACCGGTTATAAAACTTTAGAGAATCGTTTATGAATCGGACGATTCGTTCGCTGCTCTCGCGGCAATTTATCGATTTCACGCTGGTCCTATTCGATTCTCTCGTTTTCTCTCCGTACATATTATTCCTCTTACTTATATATTTTCATTCATTCATTCATTCATTCATTCATTTTTGTTTATTTATTCATTCATTCATTCAATCACTTATTTATTTATTTATTTATTTAATAATTTTTTCTTTTCTTTTTTTTTTCTCTTCTCACTTCTAAATATGTATATCGCCGGGTCGAATTAGAAGAGACATTTAATCAGTTTATATCAGACACGTGCAATTGTCGTACGCGTTGCAATATTGATCGATATAGATTGAACATTTATCACAAATCTAATATAATATGTATTTTTTATACGAATGTCAGTACAAAAAGTGGATCAATATCAATTCATTGATCTTCATTGATCGTAATAATTATATATATAAATCGAGTTAGTCATATAAATAAAACTGAACGAGTCTAGTAATGGAACGAAATCTTGTAATTCGATAAGATCGTAATTGATATCAATGTAATTAAGACGATGCTAAAGTGGTTATAAGATTAAGCGAGATAAATTTAATAAATTCATTTTCTTTTTCGAATAGGGAAAGAAAACGAAGTGAGAAGAGTAAAGGGATCGTTCGTGATAAAGTTTATTTTTAATTATGGGAACGAGAAATGTAGAGAGAGAGAGAGAGAGAGAGAGAGAGAGAGAGAGAGAGAGAGAGAGAGAGAGAGAGATAGATACGTACCCTCGTGTGTGCTCCGCTACGACTATACATTATTAGTCCATTCGGCTCGTTCGTGCGAATTTTGAAGGATATGCTCCCGGATTTGGAAGCTTTCCAGGGTGGAAGAACCTGAAACAAACGAGACAGATGGTTTTTACTGTGTCGCTCTTGGCTACCTCAACTAGCATTGCCATTTTCGTTGTTCCTTCCATCGTTGTTGTTCCTGTCTCTAATGTGTTGTTGATGTTGTTCCTGTTGCCGTTGCCGTTGCCGTTGCTGTTTTTTCGTCGTTCATAAGAGACAAATATTCAAAATACTACATAGTAGAACATCTCGTACGAGGAATGAAATATACGAAAGAACGAATGGCGGAGTCGAGAATTTGGCGGACATTGATTCTCGAGAATTTCCTTCTCGAAATAAATCGACATTGTGCCCTTTGAAAGATATTTGGAAGGAAAAAAAAAACAACGATACGGAAAAGCATCATTTCCATAAGATTTAAACCTAGACATAGAAATTTAATCAAACTTACATATGTAAGTCGATATATGTATAAGAGATCTATCTATGAGTAGGGAGATGTATTTATATAATACGTACGTATGTACTATAAAGAGATAGTCGAAGAGAGATTGCTAATAGAAATCTTCCATTAACCAAAATTGAAAAGATTAAAGAGAAGATATTTCCGAGAGGTTCTATATATATATGTATATATATAGAATATATATATATATATATATATATATATATATATATATATATATACAAATCATTCTTTATTAATGTCACGAATAAAAACTCTAATGAGTCAATTATATAGGAAGAGATATTATAAGTATTTTATATATGTAGAAATCTATTTTTATAAAGTCATACAAAAGTTATGACACTCGAACGATTACGTATATACGTTGCACTTGTAAAATATATATGTATATTTATACGTATTTTCTTTTTTTAATCTTTTCTTTTGAAAATATGTACATAGTAGGAAAACTTTTCGTTAGGATTCGAAAAACTCACGAGCGTTTTAATTATGGTTTCTTTAATGTATATTTATATATATACATGTATATATAATACACACACATACATACATATATATATATATATGTGTGTATGTTACGAAAATATGTAGACACACGTTGCTAGTTTAAAACGCACACTAAATATACTTCCATTTCATTTCTATCTTCAATATATAAATATATGTGTGTGCAAAGTATATATATATATATATATATATATATATATATATATATATATATACTTTGAAGCTCTCGTAGCAGGGACTCTTTCAAAGAAATTCACGGTGTATACATAACACAGGACGGCTCTCGAATTTAAATGTATGTGTCTCGTCGTCATCGTCGTCGTTGTCGTCGTCGTCATCGTTGTCCTCTTGAATATCTTTTTAAAACACAGCTAACACATAAAAAGTTATATTTTCATACTTAAAGATAAGATATTCCATTGTTCAGTACTGAGATCGAAGTAGAAAAAGCATAACTTTTCCTTCCTTGGTTGATCTTTGTTATTTCGTTATTATTGCGATGATGATAATGATGACAATGACGATGATGATAATCTTTATTATACTCGTTGTTCTTTTTTCTCTTCAAATTGGAAATCTTTACGTTCAATATTTTTTCTTCTTTCTCTTTTTTTCTCTCTCTCTCTCTCTCTTTCTCTCTCTCTCTCTTTCTCTTTTCTTTTTTTTCCTTTTTTCTTTTTTTTTTTTTTCTTTTTTTTTTTAAGTCAAAATTTCGGACACACGTCAAATCTAAAACGTGTCACGTTTAATATTCTAACACGCACGTCTTATTAAAAATGCAATTTCAATGAATCGGAAACGAACTGTTAGGAATAGTTAATTTAGCGATTCTAAACGTTTTTCCTTTCGACTTTCAAAGTAATCATTTAGAATTTTAAAATTTTCTTTTGATAACGAACTCATCCATGGTCCAAATATTCTATGATATAATGAAATAATTCGAAGAATATAGGAGAAGGAGAAGGTGGGCGGGGGGGGCGGAGGAAGAGAGGGAGGAAAAAAGGTCGAAGGAAGATAAAGGAGTGAAACGAGATGGACCTACAACAAGGAGCGGCCCATTTTGTCTGATGGTGATTCATAGCCGTTAGGCGTGTGCTGCATTATTCAGAGAGGGCACCTGACCTGGACCAACCATAGTCTGACTTTAAATATGGTTGTGCTACTTTCGGATGTCGAGAACCATAATCCTCTCTCTTTCTTTTTTTTTCCTCTCTCTCTCTCTCTGTCTCTCTCTCTCTATTTATTCATTTATCTATCTTTCTCGTTTTCACAAAAATTCTTATACGAGATTATCGTCCACCTTGTTATCCTATTTCCCGATAAACGAAGAAAATCATTGTCATGAATCCGTTCGAAAGGGAAAACATCGAGATTGTTACGAGGGAAAAATTGTTCAAAAAGCAACCACCGAACGACGTGTTTTACGTTTCCTTGTCTATTCTACGAACTAGAACGAAGAAATTCGAAAAATTCGTATAAGAGATAGCACTATATCTTATCGACTTTATTCCTTTTCGAACTTCTTGAGAAGAAATCTTTCGTGTTTCGTGTTTCGAGTAGAGCCTCCCTCACTCGACGTTGCAATTCGAAGGAACAAATGACACGACTACTACCCCTGCATACTTTATTGATGTATGTATGCAAATACGCGCTCGTGCCCGCGCGCCCGCACGCACACACAGACATGCGAACATATGTTGCGTTCAGGAAATGCCAATGCACGAGAACTGAAAATTTCATTTCATTTTGTATCTATAGATTCGTGAATACGAAGAATAAAAAGAAGGGAAAGGAGAGGGAAAAAAAAAGATTGCTTTTCTTTTCGTCGCCGCCGCCGAAAAATACCGTGGGAAATAATATATACATATACATACACACACACACACACACACACACACACACACACACACACACATATATATATATATAGATTCTTTTGAATGAAATGTAAATCAGAAAGATGAGCGGTGAGAACGCGATGGGACGTAAGAAAGTAAGAAGACAATCTCCTTTTCGATGTCATGTAAATAAGAGAGAAACGAGAAATAAAGAGAGAAAGAGAAAGAAGAGAGAGAGAGAGAGAGAGAGAGAGAGAGAAAGAAAGGAGAAATTTTCTTTCTATCTCTATCCTATCTCTCTCTCTTTTCCTCTCTCTTTCTTTTTCTTTTTCTCTCCCTTTCTTTCTCTCTCATACGTTGCTAGAAATCGAGTCTCGGCTGCGTCTGACATAAAAATTGCTGTTCTTACCGGAGATTGGAAAGGGAGAAAGAATATACCTGCATATTCCAATTCAGTTTCGTTAAACGTCCAATGGTATGACACGATCTCGTAACAAAGTTCCTTCAAAATAAATCGTTCTTTGCTCCCAAGGAAGTAAGTAAGTACCTTTTCTTTTTCAACGAACGAAGGAAGGAATAGATATCGACGAGGTCGATCAGATTCGGTCCCTAAAAGACGTTCTCTCTCTTTCTCTCTCTTTCTCTTTCTTTCTCTTTTTCTTTCTATCTATCTATCTATCTATCTATCTATCTATCTATCTTTCTCTTTCTTTCTCTTTCTCTCTCTCTCTCTCTCTCTCACTCTCTCTAACTTTTGTATTTTATTCGACGACTTTTTCTTTTCGGTTCGGTTCGATCCGGTTCGTTTGTTAAGGAAAATTGCTCTAAAGGTCTCTCAACGTTGCCGCGTGCGCTCGAGAAGGTCCTTGAAAGTGAGAATGAAAAAAAAGGAAATGTTGAGAAGGAACAAGGAACTTTAGAGAGAGAGAGAGAGAGAGAGAGAGAAGAAACTCATCGTCTTTCTTGCGAAATTCTTCGTTGAAGAAGAAATCCTAGAGAAAAAGACTACTGGGGTGTGTCGAAGAGAGGTGATGACAAGAAAAATAAAAGAAAAAAAAGGAAAGGACGGGATAGAGAAAGAGAAAGAAAGAGAGAGAGAGAGAGAGAAGAAGAAGGGAAGGATTCTCGAAGCGTGAAACTGAAGAACAAGGCACTTTCTACCGTCGACGTTCTTTCCTTCGTTTAAAAGAAGCTTATTAACGCTCTCGAAGTCCTCGTTAATCGTACTACAGTCGAGAATGCGATAGAATGGAATTTCGTCCTTTCAAGAAAGAATTGCAACGTCAAAGGATAGGGTACATAGACGAGAAATGCAATCTCTTGAAAAATTTCATTTTTGGAAACGACGATAGAAGCTTTAATCAGGCTTTAGTCAATTTTATAATAAGAATTAACGTGTACATTATTTCTCTCTCTCTCTCTCTCTCTCTCTCTCTCTCTATTTTTATTTTATTTTTTCTTTCGTCACATTCTCTGATTCTACGTAACGTCATGTAACATTAAAGCGACATACTCATATACACCGGTGATGGTATAAAAGTGGTCCATGTCATCTGTGACATTTCGTTTCACACGTTATTGTTAAAATTTTTTAATTATTCGAAAATAATTATTTTCCTTTGGAATAAATATATTTGCTTTTTCTTTTTCAAAAAGAAAAAAGATAAAATCATTTTTAAATCATTCAATTTCAAATATCATAGTATCTTAAAAATCATCTTTATGATCAACCTCTCGTAATCATAATGATCTACACTGCGTATCTATTAAATTTTATTTTATTTTATTTTATTTTATTTTATTTTATTTTATTTCCTTCTTATAATCATAAAATTAATTTTGTTATTTCACATTGAAGAAAAATTAATGTTTGTCAAATATAATTAGACAATTTTATTTGATATAAATTATATTATTGTTTATATAATTTTTTCTTTACAACAAATAAAAGTTAAAATTTAAAAATATCAAATGATATATTTAGGGGTGTATATATTTTCATATGTAATATGTAATTCAATGTAATTCAATGTAATATGTATTTCATATGTAATTCAAATGTATATATGTATATATTTTCAATTCGACGATAAAACGAAAAAATAGATAAGATACTATTTTCGCGTTATTTCGAATAGATTTAAAAAAATATTCGATCGATCCATTGAATGTTCAGATAAGACGATTGTATTCGTGTATTAGGTACGAAAATATCTTGGAAGATTCTTTTC